GACACCATGAAATGCCGCAGGATCGCACGAAGATATAGACAAAAAAAAAATACAAAACTTATTATAAGTTTCAGGTTTCAGGTTCCACCAACCTCGAACCTGAAACCTAACCAGTAACCTACCGTCAAAATAGGTTTTTTTAATTTTTGAAATCTGGAACTCACCTTGCATACCTTGGAACCCGGAACCCACGGTTCGGTCCTTAAGTTTCAGGTTCTACTTTGGAATTATGCTCACTCCCGTTGGATATCCTGTATAATATCACCTTAGTATGTTACTATGTTATATATCTGCTCGACTAATTTCATATAACTCTCTAACATCTTTGAAAATTTATGTATATAAGCGAATAATTTGTGAAAAGGCACAAAAGAATGCTCTTGGACTTGTGTAAACGCACGGGCACAAAACTAGTATAAAATAAATGTCATAAATATACACTTGATATGAAACATTTCATAACAATGCATAAAGAATCAAAACTTGAATTCGACATCATGTTAAGATATAAAAGTAACAATTCTAAAATTTTAAATTCTTAAATAGATAAGGTAACATGGATAAAAGGTCGTGATAAATCAAGAAAAAAACCTAGCTATGAGACAACTATGCGCTTATGAAACTTCAAAAGTCAAAACAATCAAGCTTTAGAGATCTAGGAGAGGGAGAATGTCACACCCTGAAACCTACCAGAACGGGAGGAGACACGACCGTCCTTCGCTGTCCTTCCACTTGAAGGACGCAGTCCGAAATCACAATCAAAGAACAAACTCTCAAAAGATTCCCGTTGATATCGCTCTTGCTTTAATGGCTACTAACCAAGGAACCTAAAAAGAATTGGGAAAGAGAAGGGTGAGCAACCACAGTTCAGTAAGCAGTGCGTATCTCTTCCAAGCAGATCGAGTAACCACTATGTTTGTATACATGAAGCAATACCAGAAACTCATACTTCAAACCAACTCTTTAAATACATATCAAATCAAATACGAATTGTTTCATTTCAATAAGGCTTTATATCAATAATAAATATTCATTTAATCACCATTACAAGACAAACATCAATGGTCAAGTCCATTGATTAATCTCTATTAAAAACCACGTTAATGGTCCATTCCATTGACTAATCTCAAATCACACATCAATGGTCAATTCCATTGATGAATCTCATATCACATAACACGTCGATGTCCATTCCATTGACAAATTTACTGCTCAATATCAAACCATGATCACGACACAACGTCTTGTGACAAGACAACCAAGATTCCCCCTTGGCAAGGTCTCCACCTACAAAGCCGGTGGCTCGGCCCATAAGGATATCTTAACCCGGTATGCATACTCCCAAGCCCCTCAATTGGCTCATAATGATATTGAGTATCAAACAATCATTCTTCAATAATCCATAATGCAAATCCATAAACCAAACAATTAACTTTTCACAACATAGCTCATCCGCCATTTCTCAAACCATTTCTCAAATCATTCATAAATCAATTTCACAAATCGATATGTATAACATTTTGTAACGTTTTTCATAAAACATTTCTCAAATCATCTTAAAACTCATTCCTTAAATCAGTTCGCAATATTATACATATATATCCACACGCAATATCTTTCTTAAAACCATTATCAAATGACTAAGGAGTAGTAAATGCCCGATCCAGGCTTTTATACAATAACAATGTTATTTTAAGTTTTCAAGGCATTAGTTTTACAAAACTAAAGAAGAGATAGCACCACTTACCTTGAATCCCCAAAAATCAAATAACGACGATCACTCAAACCGACGATCTCGTAATCCTAACAAGTAAATGAGAATCGACGTTAAAACCAAGTAAAATACTACGATAACTATGAAACGGCTAAACGACGCTTAAACGTTAACAAGATAACTCAAATGCGCCCACAAATCGCTCATTCCAAGCGATTATCCAAACCGTCTGCAACGCGGAGTTTGAGTGTGAAACTTGGTTGCACCAAAACTCTTTCCATCGAACTCCGTTCCAAGCGAGTTTATAGTCAAAAGAAAGCTCATTCAAACAACTACAAGACCCTCAACTTGGCAGTCCCAAAATCGAGCCGAAAACCTATGAAAATTGGCCTAAAAGCTGCCGGTCGTGCACTGTTCACGTGCGCTCAACTTCAAAAAAATTTTCTAGGCAAATGGTAAATCCTAATCGAGTTCTATAAAATCCCACGGCTCCACAACATCCTAAACTACCAATTCTATATATATAGCTCAACGACTCAAAAATCGGATTTCGCGGCTTGATTTTCACAAAACTCTGAAATTGTGTCATAATTCCGAAAAATACTCCAATTGGACGAACGAGAGGTGCGAATACTTACGGGGCGTTGCCATACGAAGTAACTCAGATTTGGCAAGGCTCCCGTGATGAATAGCGCGAAATCCCTTTTCTTTTTCTTTCTTTCCTTTCTTTCTCTTTGTTTTCTTCTCTCTCCCCACGAGCTCTCCGTCTCATGATAAAAAGAACAGAAGTCAACTATAGCTTCTTTATTGACTTTTTCCACTTTTTCCTTTTTCTCTTGTTTTTTTTTTTTCGTTTGACCTTTTGACTTTATAACCCGTATTTTACAGAGAAAATATTAGTTAGGCCTAGCTTGCCATATCATTATGCTCCCGCGCCATTGAGGGTGCGCATGGAATGCATTCGGAATAAAAATTTGTTCGGAATGCATTCCGAAGTAATGGCGTTTGTTAAAAATTTAACGGAATTCTACGGAGCGATTTTTGCATTCGGAATAAAAATGCGTTTGTTAAAAATACTTGATTCCGAATGCATTCTTGATTCCAGAATGCATTTTTGATTCCGGAATGAGTTTTTGGCAAGAAAAGAGAAGCTACTTTTTGTAGCTTCTTGATTCGAATGCATTCTCCCTATTTTCTCACAATTTTTTTTTCAGAAAATGCATAATAATTGAAAAATTCTAGAAAAATTCATAAAAATTTCCAGAAAATAAAAAAAAGTCAGATTTAGGGAAAATATGAAATTTGGTGAATTTTTTTTTAAAAAATAAAAAAATCAAAAATTTCAAAACTTTACTGAGAATAGCTTAAAACACATGTGGCCACCCACTTTGAGTGAAATTTAAATTTTTGAGGTGCCAAAAAATCAAAAATTTTCAAAACTTCACAAAATGGCTTAAAATACATGTACCTACAGCTGACTTTGAGTGAAATTTAAATTTTTGAGGTGCCCCAAAAAAGAAAAATAATAAAAAAATAAAAAATTTCAAAACTTCACAAAATGGCTTAAAATACGCGCCACCCACTTTGAGTGAAATTTAAATTTTTGAGATGCAAAAATAAATAAAAAAAATAAAAAATTTCAAAACTTCACAGAATGGCTTAGAATATCCGTAGCCACCCACTTTGAGTAAAATTTAAATTTTTGAGGTGCCAAAAAAATTAAAAAATTAAAAATTAAAAAATTAAAAATTCAAAACTTCACAAAATGGCTTAGAATACCGCGTGGCCACCCACTTTGAGTGAAATTTAAATTTTTTAGGTGCCCAAAAAATTTAAAAAATCAAAAATTTCAAAACTTTACTGAGAATGACTTATAATACATGTGGCCACCCACTTTGAGTAAAATTTAAATTTTTTTAGGTGCAAAAAGAATCAACAAATCAAAATAGATTTCTATTCCAAATCAATTTCGAGCAGAATTAGTCATATTTTACCAAACAGATTTCTCCTCCGTAAATCAATTTCGCAAGAATTCCTAAATCAATTTCGCAAGAATTTGATTTCGGAAGAATCTGACTATTCGCACCATTGACACTACGACATGTGTGGAGTGGGGTTCACTTTACAAATTTACTCTCTCTCTCCTCTGAAAATGAAACAGAGTAAAGCCCACAAGCATGCTTCGTTAACAAATGTTAACAAATTGCGATGGCCATGGACGGACTCTGATTTTGTCACGCAATTGAGACCCCGATGTGTAAAAGAAGAAGAAGCAAATTAATAACCAAGGAGAGAGAGAGACTGCTAAGAAGTTCAGAGAGGAGAGAGAGAGAGTAAATTTGAAAAGTGGATTTCAGTTGATATGTGTCACATTCTCAATGGCACGGGAGCACAATATTATAGCAGGGCTACACTACCAAATTTTTTCTCCCTAAAGGAAAGGCCGCTAAAAGAGAAAAAGCTTAAATCGTAACAGTTTTATTACTTTTCATCTTTTACTTAACGCAAGAGACTGTAAAATTCGATGTCACATAGAGTGCTCGTGCAAACAAACTAGACATATAGACCCCAAGTGGATGAGACTCAGTTTCCAGGAATAACTATATATTTTTGCACAAAAATATTGTGAGGTGATTTTCTTGGCATGCATGAGAGTTTTGTGTTGTAAATACTGGAAATAAATTTAGATTCAGTGCTATGAGCTGATCTTGTGGTTCAACCGAGCAGATTCATTTGTCAATACTATATCGTAGTCATATAGCATAGAATGTGGCGGTTCCACTTTCATACTAATTGACCTTCCACTACTTAAAAAAAAAATTGTGAGGCGATGGCTAAGACTCTCACTAAAAGCTGAAAAATTATCACTAGTGGAGAAAATATTGGGTGGATCTATTTTGTTAACAGTGAGGTTCAGAGACGAGACATGTGGTGACTAGTCACCCTTAGGAATGGAAATGAGCCATGGCCAAAGCCCAACGTCAGGGACCGTCCCTTCGTCCCTCGGTGTCCTAACCATACCACACGTAATGTTCTCTATCCACCTCATAGCTAAGAGATCCGATCCAAGATGTCTGCACTAACTCAAAACCATGGCAATCCATATGAAAGAAATACAGTAACCGGTCATTCTCATGATTTTTTTTCCAGCCAAAAGTCATCCTCACGATGAAAACGGTATTCTCTGTGGGGAAAAGGTAAAGAAAAACTAAAGCACATGGTGTCCCGCACATTATGTGACATGTATACAGAACAAATAAAGAATTTACAAAGGAATGACCCAATCAACAGTACCAAAGAAATACATAAATTTCTCTATTCAATCCAAGGAAAACTGTGGAAGGGAAATATAACAGCGATCTCACAAACTATGGATCGCCGAGAATTACACTCAGGATCCTCGTTAACACGACAAGGATTGGACCGCCTTTGTCGAGGAATCGATTGCCATGGTGCAATTCATTTGGGAGATCTTCGTCTTCTTGAGCATGAGCATGACTGTAATCTTTCCTTTAAGCACGCCCTGACTTTTCAAAGTTATGACCCCAGAGCTCAATTCGCTCCCGAGATTTGCATTGATATTGCTAGGCAAATTAGCAGAGCTCAGAGTCACATCCACGTCGATCTTCTTGGTAGACTTGAAATTGACCTTGCTCTTGGGGACGATTGCTTGTCCTACCTGGAAACCTCCATAAGTGAAGCTAACAGTAGAGGCGTCATACTTGAAGGGACCCCAGTTGGTGTTCTTGACTCGGATCGGGGCAACAAAGCTCATGTCGAATGAAGGCGATGCCTGAGTCCTAACGTTCAGAGTCTGGACGCCAAAGTCGCCGACCCTGAACTTGGGGGACTTGAACTTCATGATGACCAGGACGAAGAAGAGACCTTGGACTACCTGAAAGAAGACGAAGGCGATGATGCCGATCGTCCACTTCATCCTCTTCTTGCGGCTGGCCTCCTCATCCTCCATGGTGTGAAGCGATTCTCGATCATTCCGGCGATAGCCGTTCGATCTGGATGGGTGGTATTGGTTCTGGTTCTTCTCTGCCATTGCTAGATGGTCTTGTAGGTGAGCTGGTTTGGGATTCTTGAGTTTTTGCTTCTCTGTAGGAATTGGAGATGTGAGAACTGAGAAGGCTGAGAATGGTGAGAAGTCCTGGAAATGCTGAGGTATATATACGATGTTTGGGACACAACACGAGTGGATAGGAGACTCAATTTCCAGGAAACTGCAATTGATTAGACAGGCCAAACGCGTCCAGACCGTTGGAATCATCATGTAATTCTAGAGGAATGCGACTTATTATTAGTATGACCTTCGGACATTGCTTTCTCAATAAAGGACACCTTTTTATGGTCGGACAATATTATTCTATCAATAGAAGCTTCGATCAAATCAGTTGGTTGGCCTCGCTGAGTGCTTGCTTTAACATATTCTTTCTTCCAACCGGGTGCCAAACCAGAGGTTGAGGCACAATGGCGACAGAAAGCAAACCCAGTCCACAGCAAACAGCATGTGTCTTTTGACTTCTAAAATATCATTATCCCCACGATGATGACCCCGATTGTTTAATCACAGGTACTTGATCTCATAATTAAATTTCAATTCATTGATACATGAGGAAAATGTGGCTAAAAAAAATTGATATGGATTATTTGGAGACCGTCGATGCTCAGATAGCATGAAGAAAATGAAACCTCAAAATCAATAAGGTGGATGCCAGTCGTCCTATGTGGAAACACTGACGCTGACATGAATATTTTTTATAATTTTTATAATTATTTTTATTTTTATTTCCGTTTTTCTTTGCTTTTTTTAATCTGCCGCACATGATTATACTTTTGCCACCATTGGTAAAATGGCTACGTTTCTCAAGCAAATGTCTTATTCAATACTCGTATTACCTAAGATACCGACCTGCTATTATACAAGATATCAAATTGAGTATTCATCTCTTTTTATTTTCTTGCATATATGGAAAGTATAACACAGTTAATAAGATAGATGATGCCGCATTTGTTTTCCGTGTTGTATAAGCATAATAATATAGATTTTCTCGTGGCCCTCTGATACATGTGGGGGCATACTCTCCTCTTTGTAAATCCCCCAAATATCGACTCGAAGACAGGATCGAGTCTTCCGCCCACCTTGGCGGACTTGGCAGTCGGTCAGGACAAGGAAAAGGCCGCTAAAAGAGAAAATGCTTAAACTGTAACAGTTCCATTACTTTTTAAACTTTTACTTAACACAAGAGATTGTAAAATTTGATGTCACACGGATTATGGATGAGCGGTTGCAGATTTCTTACAAATTTTACCTAAAATCTGAAACCTACTCGTCAAAACCTGGAACCTAATTTTAGGGTAGGTTCCAGGGTTTAATAGGTTCTTATTTATTTATTTATTTCATTTTTAGTTAAACAAAATGAAAAATGATCAACAATACGGAACATGTTTGTCATTAACCAAAGATAATACAAAAGACTAGTTTTCATGCCATTACGGTTCAAATAAATACAATTAAAATGAGAAGTCATTGCGTGAATCAATACTAGGGGTAAGTGGTTCTATGTTCCGTACGAGTTCTACCTGGAACTTACCCATGAGAATTATGGTTCTTCATTTTTTTGAATCTAGAGCATACCCTATCACAGATTTCAAGTCGTTTCAGGGTCTACTTAGGTTCCACATATATTATTAATTGAACAATTGCAATGAATCATCACCTTTAATGATCACCACTTGTTACTAAGATCCACTGACCACAACTTATATTTAGACACACGAAGAATATGAAACATTAACAAGTCGTAAAATGAAAGTGTAGACTAGTGATTCTAGATTGTACACTCATCATCTAACGTCATGAAACACCACAAGATCGTGCGAATGCCTAGACCAAGAAAAAGCACAAAAAACTTGTTTAGGTTTCAGGTTCCACCTACCTGTTGAAATAGGTTCCCCAATTTTTGGAACCTGAAACCTACCCTACATACCTTGAAATCTGGAACCTACATGTTCCCACCAGTTAGGTTCTCAGGTTCCAGGTAGAAACTGGAACCATGCTCACCCCTAACACAGATTGCCTCGTGCAAACAAATTATATATAGAACACTTTTATCGCGAGGTGATTGTGTTCGCATGAATTAAAGTTTTGCGTTGTAAATACTATAAATAAATGTGATAAGTATAATGGATGTTTAAAACTTGTCACGAAAGTGCAATTGAGTCCTAAAACTTTTGAGAAGTGCAATCGAGTCCTAAACCTTGTTAAATTGGTGCAATCAAGTCCTTGTATTAACTTCGTCCAACTTGACAAACGGAAAATGCTGACAAGTTTTTGGACTTGATTGCACCAACTTGACAAGTTTTATGACTTGATTGCACTTTTTGAAAATTTTAGGTTCAATTGCACCTTCGTGATAAGTTTTAGGACTTCTTGTGCACTTCTCTCGATGAATAAATTTAGATTCAGTGCTGTGAACTCATCTTATGGTTCAACCAAGCAGAATTTAATGATCAATTCAATTGTCAATGCTATATCACAACTATATAGTTTATAAAATGTGGCAGTTCCACTCTTATACTAATCGACCTTTCGTTACCATAAAAAATCTTAAGCGACGCCTAAGACTGTCACTAGAAGCTGAAAAACTATCACTGGAGAGGTTCGGTGACGAGGCATATGGCGACTAGTCACCGTTAGGCTATACCTTGCAGTCAAGAGTCATTACGACCGGAACGAGCCATGGCTAGAGCCCATCATCATGATTTTTCTTTCCGGCCGAAAGACATCCTCACGATGAAAACGGTATTCTCTGTGGGGAAAAAGAAAGAAAAAATCCAAAGCACGTAGTGTTGGCACATTATGGGACATGTCTACAGATCAATGAAAGAATTTACAAACGAGTGACCCACCAAATTGACAACAAGATAGAAATACATAAATTTTTTGATTCAATCCACGGAAAACTCGTGGAAGGGAAATATACAAGCGAGCTCATAAACTATGGATCGCCGAGAATCACACTCAGCATCCTCATTAACACGACAAGGATTGGACCGCCTTTGTCGAGGTATCGATCGCCATGGTGCAATTCATTTGGGAGATCTTCGTTTTCTTGAACATGAACATGACTGTAATCTTTCCTTTGAGCACGCCCTGACTTTTCAAAGTTATGACCCCAGAGCTCAATTCGCTCCCGAGATTCGCATTGATTGTGCTAGGCAAATTAGCAGAGCTCAGAGTCACATCCACGTCGATCTTCTTGGTGGACTTGAAATTGGCCTTGCTCTTGGGGATGATTGCTTGTCCTACCTGGAAACCTCCGTAAGTGAAGCTAACAGTGGAGGCGTCATACTTGAAGGGACCCCAGTTGGCGTTCTTGACTCGGATCGGGGCAACAAAGCTCATGTCGAACGAAGGCGATGCCTGAGTCCCCACGTTCAGAGTCTGGACGGCAAAGTCGCCAACCCTAAACTTGGGGGACTTGAACTTCATGATGACCAGGACGAAGAAGAGACCTTGGACTACCTGAAAGATGATGAAGGCGATGATGCCGATCGTCCACTTCATTCTCTTCTTGCGCTTGGCCTCCTCATCCTCCATTGTATGAAGCGATTCTTGATCATTCCGGCCATAGCCGTTCGATCCGGGTGGGTGGTATTGGTCCTGGTTCTTCTCTGCCATTGCTATATGCTCTTGTGGGGAGCTGGTTTGGTGATTCCCGAGTTTTTGCTTCGCTGAAGGAATTGGAGATGTGAGAACTGAGAAGGCTGAGGATGTTGAGAAGTCCGGGTTATGCTGAGGTATTTATACGATGTTTGGGACATAAGACGAGTGGATCTGAGACTCAATTTCCAGGAAACTGCAATTGATTTGACACGCCAACGCGTCCGAACGTTGGTATCATCATGTTGTTCTAGAGGAATGCGACTTTGGTCGAGTATGACCTTCGGACAGTGCTTGTAGGGTTGGACGTATTGTTCTATCAATAGAAGCTTCGACCACATGAATTCCTATCCGAATCATATTCAATTTTCTATTTTATTTTATTTTTTGGTTTTTTGCAACTGGGTGCTAAACCAAAGCTTAAGGAACAATGGGGACAGAAGCGAACCCAGTCCAGGGCATGTTTCCTTTTGACTTCTAGAATGTCATTATCCCCACGATGCTAAACCCAAGTTTTAGTCACCGTACTAGATCCAACAATTTGATATCGGTTCATGTGATACATATGGGATATATGGCTAAAAATATCTGACATGGTTTATTTGGAGATCGTGGATGATTACATAGTATGAAATAATAATCACAAAAAAACACTTATTATGAGATCAAGGCCGGACATATTTGACTAGGGAAAAGTGCCAAAAAAGTCCTAAACCTCTTGCATTTGTGCCAATTTAGTCCTAAACCTTTTTTTGGTGCCAATTCAGTCCTAAACCTTTTGCATTGTTGCCAATTCAGTCCTAAACTCTTTTATGGTGTCAATTCAATCCTAATCTTTTTGTATTGGTGCCAATTCAGTCCTAAACCTTTTGTTTTTGTGCTAATTCAGTCCTTTCGGCCAATTTTAACCGGATTTTGCTGACGTGGACGCCAATCGGCCTGCGGCTGGTCATCGGCACTGACGTGGACAGCTTTCATAATATTTTAATTTTTTTTGAATTTTTTGAATTTTTTATTTTCCCCCTCTCCTCCCTCCTTCCTCTAGCCAGTCGCCGGACTGGCGACCGACCAGAGGCCATAGGCCTGTGACGGCGAAGGCAAGCCTCGCCGGCGGCTGGCATGACCTCGCCAGTGGCCGGCGAGGGCGAGGCTCACCAGCGCCGGCCTCTGGCCTCCGGCCGGTCGCCAGTCCGGCGACCGGCTAGAGGGAGGAAGGAGGGAGGGGAGGGGAAGAAAAAAAGAAAAAAATAAATAAAATTTCAAAAAAATTATTAAAATATTATTAAAGTTGTCAACATCAGCGCTAGTGACCAACCGGCGTCCATGTCAGCAAAATCCGGCCAAAATTGATAAAAATGACTGAATTGGCACAAAAACAAAAGGTTTAGGATTGAATTGGCACCAAAAAAGAGTTTAGGACTAAATTGGCACAAATGCAAAAGGTTTAGGACTGAATTGGTAACAAAAAAAGATTTAGGACTACATTGGCACCAATACAAAATATTTATGACTTTTTTGGCACTTTTCCCTATTTGGCTACGGTTAGG